GAATTGTTATTTATATCTCGATAACAATTTTAAGACAACGAAATCATGTAAAAGACCCTTTGCAAAAGTCGAAGAAAAGGGTAGACAGGTGAGATAAGTAGGACTAATAACTGACTCCTTGGTGACTAAGTACTTTGATTAATAAATAAACTTGTATTACATTGGGCATGGCACGTATTCTTGTCATATGTGGCGACTGGGTTGCAATGTAAGGTTATATGATTTTTAGTAGTATATGTGTGTGTTTCTCACACGTACATATAAAAATTATTTACTTATTTTTCGCAGTGTGTGTTTGTCAGTGTGTGTGTGTGTGTGTGTGTGTGTGTGTGTGTGTGTGTGTGTGTGTGTGCGTGTGTGTGTGTGTGCGTGTGCGTGTGTGTGTGTATGTACATGTACATATAATATTATATATATATATATATATATATATATATATATATATATATATATATATATATATATATATATATATATATATATATATATATATACATATATACATATATATATATATATATATATTATATATATATATGTATGTATGTATGTATGCTATATGTATGTATGTGTATGTGTATGTGTATGTGTATGTGTATGTGTATGTGTATGTGTATGTAGTATGTGTATGTATATGTATATGTATATGTATATGTATATGTATATGTATATGTATATGTATATGTATATGTATATGTATATGTATATGTATAAGTATATGTATATGTATATGTATAAGTATATGTATATGTATATGTATATGTATGTGTATGTGTATGTGTACGCATATGTATACGTATAAGTATATGTATATGTAACATATTGTGAATCTGCCATCCGGTCTTGCTACGTATTGTTCACATCTGCCACCAGATGTGAGCGACACTAGAGATGGACTTAAGGCGGATAATGAAAGTGGCCTTGGCTTTTGGCTTTATTCGCTACAAGGTGCGTGGATGCAAGCTGAGCTCCTTCTGACGAGGTATGGCGAATGTCCCCCTTTCATTCCGCGGCTACGTCCTGGGCGGAGTTTGCTTCCGCGGCTGGAGTGTCAGGTTATCAGACCGTGACAGGGGGTGAGTCGCTGGGCTTGCTCGAGGGGGACATGTAGGTCACCTAGGAGGTCCTTGGGTAAACCAGGCTCAGGAGTGGAAGGTGCGAAGTGGCTGCTTCCTGTGATAAGGTGGACTCAGGAGGCGGCGACGGGAAGGCGCGGCCTTTGTTCAGCCAGGGACAGATGTGTGGAGCACCACCCTCCGGATGTTGTTTATATCGCTCGGCCACGTACAAGGCTCGTCCTCGAGCCGTCTGCAACATCTGTAACGCTGAAATGGCAGAAGAATTACTGTGGCGAGGTCAGCGGCCGCTGGTAGGTGGCAGGTCCCTCTCGTGCCTGACATGCTGTGAGGCAGAATGCAAAGGTTGCCACGAACGTCGACTGCCGGGTCCGAGTAGTAGCGGCGCGTCAAGTGCCACTGTCTGTGCCATGCACAACCAGCCGAGCGATGTGAACAATACGTAGCAAGACCGGATGGCAGATTCACACCTCGGGTCCAAGCAAATGCCTTTCTCCTTGCGCAGGACGCAGGTGTTGCCTTCCTTTCTCTTTTCACACAGGAATAAACATTCGCCCTTCAAGGAAACCACCGCATAAAAGGACACGTGCCTAAGACGACGGGAGACACAGGGAGACACGGCAGACAGGCCAAGCCACACAGGGTCCAGCCACTACCTTGTCCTCCACCCGGGGACACGGGGGTCTTGACCGCCCCAAGACCATCTCTGTTACGCTTACATCTAGTGGCTTGCAGTGGTCACTTACGCTTACATCTGATGGCAGCGGTGGTCACTTACGCTTACACATATCTGTATATGTATATGTATGTATGTACATGTGTGTAGTAATCCTCTTTTACGTGCCTCTATTTCCAGTATTTCGTTTTATCGTGAATTTATATCATGGCTCCTGCTTTTTTTGTTGTGCAAGTGTCTCTACTCCCTCCCATAAAGCACTTATTGTGGAGCCATTACCCACTATGACATTTGTCTCCCAGAAAGATATCAAGTAATGATGATGACAGCAAGAAGAAAAGAAAGGGTGAGGGTATCTCAGCATTATTCAGTGTTTGGACAGTGGTGCAAGGATTATTGCTCTTGCACTCAACTTGCAACAATCTATGCAAACTAGACAATTGGCCTGGGTTCCCAAGAACTACACAGGTATTCCTATAGCACCACGATTGAAAAATTGAAAAAATTACGGCCCTAAGAACCAAAGATCAGAACCACAGGAAAGCACTTTATGAAGAAGAGAGAAATGAAAAAGGGCAAAATGAAGAACAGAATGTAAACCCAATGGTGACGGGTGAAGAAAACGAAAAAAAAAAAACTACGCTCTGGCAAACAATGGCGGCGCGCCGGCTTTGAGCGCGTGAGTTTGGTACATCAGCCCGATTCACTGGCTCGCCGCGCTTTGGCACATTGCGAAAAATAAATGAATAAATTATATATTAATTCTTCGGAATTACCATCTTTACCAAAGGGATATCCCTACCAGTCCCCGAGAATTATTCTATCGTATAAATATGCCAAGAAAGTGTGTGTGTGTGTGTGTGTGTGTGTGTGTGTGTGTGTGTGTGTGTGTGTGTGTGTGTGTGTGTGTGTGTGTGCGTGCTTGTAACACACATTGCGTTGCTAGGTACGTACTCAAGGGTCAAACAAGGTCAGATAAACTCGTCATCTAAATCCTCGCGGAGTCGATGGTTCTCAACTGGACTTCGAGCCACGTGGCCCTCCTCACCGGTGGGACCTGGGCCCCCTGCTGGAGTAAAAACAAGACCTTGCTGAAGGCTTCGGCCACCCACGTATGACTTTAAGGGACAGCGGCAATGTCATTCAACCTACTCAGAGCGGAAGGATCGTGCAGTGACGTGTGTGTGTGTGTGTCTCACACGCGCACACACACACTGACATACATCCACACTGCGAAAAATAAACTTTATGTGTGAGACAGACAGACAGACAGACAGACAGACAGACACACACACACACACACACACACACACACACACACACACACACACACACACACACACACACACACACACACACACACACACACACACACACACTGCGAAAAAAATAAATGAATAAATCTTATATTTATTCTTTCATGTTAGGGTTCATATTTATATAATAAAATAATTCTCGGGAACTGGTAGGGATATCCCTTTGGGAAAGATGGTTATTCCGAAGAATGAATATAATTTTTTTCTATTTCTATTTATTTATTTTTTGCAGTGTGAGTGTCCGTGTCAGTGTGTGTGTGTGTGTGTGTGGGCGTGAAACACACACGCGCGCACACACACACGCACACACACACACACACACACACACACACACACACACACACACACACACACACACACACACATACACACACTGCGAAAAAAATAAATGAATAAATCTTATATTTATTCGGAATAACATTTATCTGAGGAGATAAATGTTTTTTCCTCAGTGGTGACCGATTGTTGAGATTTACTACTGGTTCGGAGGTAAAAACATCTTGGTCTCGCAGATCCATCCTCTCACTCCTACGGTCGAAGTTCGTGTTTTCTTCGATATTCTGAAGTTCTCCCCAAGGTTGTTTGCCATTGCCCAGGTTTCTATCAGTTCTGTTTGCCTGATTGTCCCTGTTATTTTATTTTCAAAGAAGGTCAAGCGCGGTCTAGTGGTCATTTCCGAGAGTTACCACGCCCTCGGTATCAGCTATGGCCTGTACTGGTATGACTGCGTGGCTGAGAAAAAAATCAAGACAAAGAAGCACACTCTAAATTCTTGGTTCCCCGAGCGCGACAGCCATCTGAAAACCGCCATCAAGCGCATGCAAGAACTGTTCTTCAACAAGGCCGGCAAACCCATTGTCGAAGAGATCATCATAGGCGGCCCTGATCAAATGAGGTTCTTGCTGCAGAATCGCTTACCTAAGAAACTTTCTGGGCTCTTCCGCGAATGCATATTAGTCGGTGGGCCCTCAAGGGAGAGCATCTCGCATAGGCTGTGTGATATTCTTCTGGAATTGGAGAATAGAATAGCCAATTATCAGGAATGATCACACCCACAGTATGACCCTATGTTGTTTGCAAGACGGCACACAATGGCATTGATGTCAAAATTACTGAGGATCTGAACCTTGGTCTTGTATGGAGTGTCATTGAAGATAAAATAACAGGGACAATCAGGCAAACAGAACTGATAGAAACCTGGGCAATGGCAAACAACCTTGGGGAGAACTTCAGAATATCGAAGAAAACACGAACTTCGACCGTAGGAGTGAGAGGATGGATCTGCGACACCAAGATGTTTTTATCACCAACCCAGTAGTAAATTTCAACAATCTGTCACCACTGAGGAATTCCGAATAAATATAAAATTTATTCATTTATTTTCGCAGTGTGTGTGTGTGTGTGTGTGTGTGTGTGTGCGTGTGTGTGTTTGTGTGTGTCTCACACACAAAATTTATTCATTTTTCGCAGTGTAAGTGTGCGCGTGAGACATACACACACACGTCACTGCACGATCCTTCCACCCTGAGTAGGTTGAATGACAATGCATCAAAGTCATACCTGGGTGGCCAAAGCCTTCAGCAAGGTCTTGTTTTTCATCCAGCAGGGAGCCCAGGTGCGCCCTCCTCACCCACCTGGTTGCCAGTTTAGACACCGACGACTCGTTCATACTACAGGTTGTACCACCTTACATAGTTAGTGGTAGCAGTATTTCTTCTGACCTGACCCTAATATATATAAATATATATACATATATATGTATATATATATATACATTATATATATATATATACATAAAAACTGTACAATTGATTTGTTCATATGGATCAATCATAATTTTTTTTTTTCTCTCAAATCTGAATTATCTACATGACACACCATTTTAACTTTTTTTTATCTAGCTTACAAAGGGGTAAAATAAAGTATTATAAGTCGACAGCAATTACTTTTATTTCACCAGAACAATGACTGATCTACATAAGTCTTGTAATCAACAGACCAAAGAATATGCTTAAAGAATATAGGTTATCTGCAGCAAATGTCCTGTAAAATTCCATCATGTGTTCAATATCTGAAGAACAAGTTGTTATAACCATATTCTACAATTGCCTATTACTCTACCTAATCAAAAGCTGAACTTAATTTATGATAATCAAGAACAAACCAAAAATAAAGATTATGGTTTTCTTCCACAGGCCTAAATTGTTTGAATCTAAAGACACTGATGAAGTGTTAATATCGTTTCTGAATGTTTAATAATCTACTTCCTTGTGAATAATTCACTACCTGACAATGTTAAAGTTTTCCTTACTGTGCGCATTTCAAATGGAAATAACGGAAATAGCATTCACTTTTAAAGAACCTATAATAACTCACGATTCCTGTAGATCTGTCAAAGTCCCTCACCATTCTTTTCATTCAGACTACTGCCCTCACTCTCAATTCTTTACAATATTCAAATTGGTATAAATATTCTGTGACAACTCTCTCTATCATCACATATATGTATGTACACACACACACAAGAAAAAAAAAAAAGAAAAAGAAAAAAGAAAAAAGTAAAAAAAAAAAAAGTAAAAAATAACTTTCTCTAAAACTTTTCCTCGGCTCTTGCCTTCATCCGATTAATAAATGCCTGTCCTTTATTCTTCCTGAACGCTTCGTAAGGGTCACTCTGGGCGGAAGGCACCCCTAAGCCACGGAATCTCTCCTGTGGCGAATCCCGCACTTCCGCCGCCGACACGGGGACGCTGATGCCCTGCTCCTTGACCCCCAGACCTGAGCCGCCCCAACCCATCTTCTTTAGCATCTGGTGGCCCTTGTTGCTCTCGTCGAGCCTCTGGTCCATCTTGGGGAATGATCCCGTCCTGCAAAAGGAATAGTTCAATCAATTTTTTTTTTCTTTTTTTTTTCTGGATGTACGGCAATCCAAGAGAATATATATCTTTTTATTCACATACTGCAATGGATACAGCAATCGAAAAACACTTGGCAACACTATGATGTTGTTTGAGTATAAAATCCTAACTATAACATAAATATTCTACAAGGAAATTAGTTTTCAAACAAGCACTTCAAATTTCTAACATGATAACGACTCATACTGATTATGCTGAGAATATGGAGATAAATATATGACCCAAATACATTTCTCAAACTAGGGTCAAGAAAAAAAAAATAATAATAAAAAAAATAAAATAACATCATCACGCAGCCTAGTAAGCATGTTTCTCTGCAAACATGTCCCCTACGTTCACATGGACATGGGACACACACACACACACACACACACACACACACACACACACACACACACACACACACACACACACACACACACACACACACACACACACACACGCACACACAAAAAAAAAAAAAAAGCAAAAAAGCCCATAGGAGGGTCAAAAAGCTACTTACATAAATGACGGGGGGCTTGGACTTCTCGAGACGGATCGTTTAAACGGAATTCTCACAGGCGACCTTGGTGATTTGGACCTGGATCTTGACCTTGACCTACTGTTTCTTCTGGGTGACCTGGAGTCTGAGTTGGACCTGCGAGGCGACTTCGACCGTGACCTATGTCTTGACCTTGGCGGAGTTCTGGAATGCGAGGGGTTAAAAATATCAAGCACCTGCAAGCACCTATTTCAAAACCACAATATGAACTCCTGCTTTCATTACTGCGACACAGATGAAAATGAGGGGAAAAAAAAAAAAATTGTAAAGAATAACCTACAGAATAGAGATTTACAAGCACAGATGCCTGCCGAGTCCAAGGCAATTCTGAAAAGCACAAAAGAACAAGATCATTCCTCTTTGGAATGCCAGCGTACCTTGACCGTGACCTGGATCTGGACCGCTGCTTGTTCATGCTTGGGCGGGATGGGCTCTTGCTGCTCGAGCGAGATCGGGAGGATGACTTGACTTTCTCCTCAACTTTCTCTGGACTCACCGATCTGCAAATATGGACAGTATATCTATCTTGTTCTCTGCAAGAGTAGCCTGAGATGGTTTTTATATATATATTTATATATATATATATATATATATATATATATATATATATATATATATATATATTTCCCCACCCCCCCTCATTTAGGAGAAAGGAAAAGCATCTCCTCTTTGTATTCATGAAGATAATCTAACAATCAAAGAAAGTAAAAAACAAAGTAAAGACATTTATGGGATAATAAAATTCTGAAGCCAAGTATAAGAGTTCACTTCAAACAAAACAAAACAAAGAAAAGAAAAAAAAAAACAGTTTAGTCATTGTAAGCTCTGAAGCCCTGAAATGTGACCAACATAAGTTTTGCAAATATTTAATGTATAGCTCCAATATCATTTACAACCATTTCATGTTATATACAAATCATACCACCACCACATATATAAAAACAATGACAAGAACATGAACTCTACCTGTATCTCCTGACTGGCTGATCGGATGGCTTCTCATCTTCCTCTGGCGGTGGCTCAATGACGACAGGAGAGGGGGAGCGCGAGCGTTCCCGGATTCCATCATTAATTTCTGTCTCTTTCCGTTTCACTGACTGACTCTTTTCTTTGTAGTAGTCGTACAAACCTAGCTGCTCCCAACCCTCACTGAAACAGAATGGATAGAATGGATTTATTGAAAATTCTGTACACACACACACACACACATAAACTTTACAATGTCAAACATCCTCAACATTCTCCCCACCCAAGAAACGGTACTCGAACTCCCCACTTGCCTATTTCGTGGTTTTTCGTGTGAAGGTGGAGCATAGAAATTCTCTACCGCTCTCAGCAACCTCTCACTGGGTGGTGTGGGTGGGGGGAGCCTCAGGTCATTAGGATCGAGTGGCCGATACTTGTGGTCTTCAATCTTGACCAGAGGGGCCATGAGCCCTGCTGGCAGCTCATAATATGGCACCGTGGGGACCAAATTTTCCTTCTGCTCTTCAACAGGAAATCCTGGGGGAGGTTTGCTGAAGTCGACAAGCGGCAAACCTACAAGAAAGATAACCATAGAATACAATTAAAACATTCAGCTTTTATCTAGATAATATATAAAAGGGACATTAGGATTCATAATAAATTTTAACCCAATGCCACCAGGGAAAATTAACCCATTGGCCACGGATTTATGTTCTGTCCCCTGTTGGTTTTGGTGAATTTTGCTACCTACAGATGGCTCCACATGTACTCAGCCGGCAAGGAGTCTATCAGTAGGCCCTAGTTACCGACCCTGATTTTCCCATTCATTGAATTGGCGGGAAAATTAATATCATTGCTTTCGATGCTGTTATTATTGTTACTGATGTTATGATGATTGAATTGTCATTAGAATATTTTTGACAATAAGATGATACAAAAAACCCTTTCCGAAAGTGAAGGAAAAGGCTAAACAGGTGAAATAGGTAGTTCTTGATAACTGGCTATTTGGTAATTAAGAACTTGTAGAGCCATCTATGTGTAAATACAATAAATAAACGTGTATCAAAGTGGGTATGGCATCTATTCTTGCCATCCGCGGCGAATGGGTTAACAAAAAATGGGGAAAATGCTGTGATTTGAAAATCGATGGTGTTATTGCTATGAAAATCGATGGTGTTATTTTTATCATAAACATTATAATTTTTATAATGTTTTTTAACATTAGTAACAGAAAAATAAGATTACATAAAATAATTTGTAAATCAAAGAAACAGGTAAACGAGCGAGACGGGCAGTACTCGTAGTTGGCTCATTGGTGATTTAGTACAAGTGTTGCCATCTATGCATAAAAACAATCAAACAAGTACTCACGGTGAGCATAGCACGTACGTACACATCATACCCGGCACCAATGGGTTAATGCCCAGTTCAAAACAGTGACTGAATGTACTCTAAAAGGACTTAGAAGCAATACAGGTGTAACCATAAGCCATCACTGAAGGCTTAATCAGCAGCCAACAGTTTAATGCTTTAATGTAGCATCTGGGACATTTATATCTTGAACTCTGAATGAGTGTATCTCAAAAGTTATGATAAAAAGTTTTACCTACTGGTAAACAGGTTTAGGTAAATGACTGATCATGCTTGGGATTCCTATGTAAAGTTGAAAGATTAAGTGAAGGAAGAGGGCGATCTGTGATGTCATGCAACAAAATGAGATTATGTTGCAACAATATATAACAAATGAATAATGTCATAAACTGAGCATAACTGTCAGCTTAAATACCTTTAACCCAATTATCATGGGTGGCAAGACTACAATGCCATATCCACTGTAATGAGTTCATCTATTGTCTCTTTACACACAAATACATAGTGCTTAGTCACCAAGGAATCAGTTATTAGTCATTTCTATCTCACCTGTTTACCCTTTCAATAACAATCTAATAATCAAAATATTAACAAGAACAATTACAATGTCACTATTAAAAGTATTACAAAGAAACACACTGCCCTGCTAATTCAAGGAATGGGGAAACCATTTCTTTTTTTTTTCTTAACCCATTCCCGCCGGGAATGCCATGCCATGCCCATTGTGAGATTACTTGTTAGATTTTTTTACACATAGATGGCTACACTTGTACTAAATCACCAATGTGCCAACTACGAGTACTGCCTGTCTTGCCCATTCACTCTTTTCTTTGATTTACGAAATATTTTACGTTATCTTATTTTGCTGTTACTAATGTTAAAAAACATTATAAAATTATAATGTTTATGATAAAAATAACACCATCGATATTCATGGTACTAGTGAAAAATACGTTTTTCCCACCATTTCAATTCAGGCGCTAACAGAGCCATCCATAGGCAGACATTTAACAAAAAAGTATAGAAAATAAGCACAGCATTTTCCCCATTTTTTGTTCATTTTCCCCGGCGGCATTGGGTTAACAGCCATTCATTCCACTGCATTGGCATATATATATATATATATATATATATAT